ATCCCACAGTGGAAAAAAAACTTCGCGAACACCCTGAACACAGACCTCCCTTTAGCAGTGGGGGCGGGCCTGGACGAGTGTGCCGGACGTGGCTGCCAGAAATCGATGCGGCAGCCGCAATTGCGTCCCGACTTTCGAAATAGGATACTTTAAAGGGACGGAAGCAGCTCGGGACCGGACGCCTCGTCCACCTACCGTGTCAGCGAGCCTTGTGGAAATCGCTATAACTTCCTTATCGCGCCATATTGAGGGATGAAAGTGGTATCATCTTCGTCAAGGCGTAGAGGGTTCCAAAAAGCACGAAGTCATTTTGAGGACCACTTGATCGCGGGGAGTGTCTTTAATCCATTCGATGCCATGATACAGCTACTCTGACTCAGTAAGGAGTGTATGTTTTCATATATCCATGTAACAACATGGAGCTTCATATTGAAGCAGTTCATGGAATAGTAGGTCAAAATGAACGGGTGATATGTCTTGATGCCATGCCTTGACGTTCTTGCGGTAGTTCCTTGGACCTTTTTTGCAAAGGTAAAGGCAGATTCAAAGAGCGAGCGACATGACAGCCAGCCAAACTCATTGGATCTCCGCCTCATCCGCCTAATTTCTCCAGAGGCATTTGAGGTGCCATTTCAATTGCAGTGGAGAAGCCAGCGTCGATGTCACTCTGCCGCCAGTTGTGAGGGGCGGTTGTAGTGGACGTACTGGTCGACGTGTTGCAGCATGACAGGGCACTATAAGAGTGCCTTCTAAAAAGGTGCCTTGTAGCGTTCGATTAGGTGCGCCGAGTTCGGTCCCGCTAGGCATATTTGTCCCACATACCCTGTGGATTTATCGTGTCACGCGCCTTCGAAAGCGCGTCTCGCGTTCAAGATACATGAGCAGTGTGAATGAATTCAAGTATGGCAAGGTGGTGAAATGTTCAGTATCACTTGTATCACCCGTGCTCCCTTTGATCCTCGAGTTCGTTCAGTATCTCTTGTATCACCCGTTCTCCCGTTGATCCTCGAGTTCCTCAAGGCCCAATGGATCCTCTCTGCTCGAGGAACACGATGAGCTTCATACCATTCGTTCAGAGCTTTCAGGAAGAAGTCGATCACGGAGTCTGACCATGGGCAATCGACCAGGTGTTCGCTTGACATTCCGTGGAATCCAGTCGGTAATCGCTCTGAACCAGCAGTCATCTTCAAACGCATGACGTGCCGGCTCACCTGGTTCTTCAACACCCTGGGCAATGTGGCTAGGTCTCCGATCTTGGATCGTCGGTGGAGTGCGGAGCTCCGAATTCTCACTCTCACTTGTGTGTAGCGGGAAACTCCGAGCATCGCCCTTTCGAGGGCGTAACGGGGCTCTGTTGAATGACGGTAACCGCATGCTCATCCCTGCTTCCGTAGAGACCAAGTCTGAAGACAAGAGGCGTCTTCCCGGTGGCACAGGGTCCTCCTCAGACCATGAATGAGGCTGGAACGAGAGTACGTCCGACGGTTTTTGGCTGCCATTGTTCTTACTGCTGCCCTTTGTTTGAGGAGCTGACGACTAATTTCCGATAGTTGTGATCGAAAAATTTTTTTCGTTGGTGGACAACACATTCTTCAAGCAACCAGCACCGATTAGAAGATGCATCTCAGCAACTGTGACCTTTTGATTCCCCCAAGACAGTGAGGAATCGAAAATAATTGGATAGATGACTCATACAGTAGATCGAAATTGCTTGCGGAATGCAAATAACATATTGTAGGGAAAGAGAACTATGACGACCACTCAAAAAACGCGCCAACACGAAATTGTCACCACTTTGTGTCACCCTGCGAAGGAGGAGGGGCGCAAAGCTTTGCACCGGTTAAACCGCGTTACTGATCACCTCTGCACGAAAAACGGCTCACAAGCGAACTGCAACATCATTGCCCTGGAGCGTATGTTAGGGCATATTTCCTATTGCCTTCTTACGAGAGTCGACATCGCACAAATCTTGCTGATTGAAACGTTGGCCAACGTCGACAAAACTCGTCCAAGCCGCCCACTGCTGAGGGGGTCTCTGTTCAGTGTTCCCGAATTTTTTCGCTTCTTTCTCTACTGATGAGTTTTTGATTGGCTAGTTGTTCATGACGCACTTGCTACGCGTTACACTTGAGCTAGCCGCTGCTCTTCCGCAAGCAATAACGATTGTGACCGTTTTTGCCAATAAGGTGCTGTGCATATCGTGAGTTTCAACAGCCTTTCATGATGGGAATCTCTCATCTCTAAGCATTCAAACAACTGACTTTGAAGCGAGATCAAAGCAAAGAAGTAACATGCGCATGCCTTCTGCTTTTCTCTCGTGCTTTGAAATCGAGGATCGCTTCAAAGAGATGCGAAACAAAGCCTTTTTAAGCTATCAGCTGACCATCACCCGATTCACACCACTTGCGAATGTTAAGTGCTAAGGTAAAATGTCAGAGAAGTACCACATGTAGCAATCGAACATTTTTTACACACATAGCACATGTGAAAGATCAGTTCCTATAGTCAGTACATAAATATTCATTACGCAACTTTAATGGGTTTGACAAGAAACAACCTCAACGGGACCAACAACGTCTATCATTGTACTAGACTACGAACATCTAGGACTAAAAAAATGTTCGGTCAATACACACAAAGATATTACAGTGGCTCATATTCAAGACCCATGCCGAATTTATGAGCATCATTGGAAGAGAGGTTGAACTGACTCGACATTGTCATCTTAAGGTCGGGCGAGAGCGAATGTGTGATAGCCAAAGCCACCTAAAACAGCTCCATCAAGCACTCTACTACTTATTGTGAACATTAATAGTAAGTCTGGAATGAAAATGTATTAAAACCAGACTGGACGCTACCTGGCTGCTGTTGTTCACTTTTCCACGAAGCACCAAATCTCTAGTAGCAAAATATTTTGCGGCAACAGCGAAATCAGCGCCGTTACCTCCGACCTAAGAAGAAACGATTTTGGAAGGATAGATTCGAAAGGCTGAGTTTACCGGCGAAATTGAAAACAGAATGTGCTACCTTCCAGCCAAGCATAGTGCCGAGTTCAACATTGTTGTTGACTCTGTGGAAGAGTGAGGCACCGAAATCGGTCGAGTTCACGACAAATGAGTGAAGAATGTAGTTAGGCGATTGGTGTCCGAAAGCCAGTGAGGTCGATGCCACCTGAATGAGACTTTCCTAATTTGCAACCAATCATAAGATTAAGAGACAGTTCTGGAAGTACCTTGTTTGAAGCAGTATCGAAAGTGGCAGAGGCACCAAACAACCATCCCTCACGACCGAAAACGCAAGCTGCATTGATAACTGGAGCTGCGGTGAGGCCAACTTCACCGGTAATCTATGAATTTTGAGTTGAGAAGCTTTCCAGAAGAAAAATAAGGCAAAAATTAACCAATTCAAGCACCAACCCTGGCAGTGTTGAGTGACCAGTCAGCCTTCAGTTTGCCGGTCCTCTTACCAGCATGTGGAGCATAGAGAGAATCAAAAGTGAGTTTAAGACCGCGTCCAAACTGCTCATTTACTTCGATTATTGTGCCCAGCTGGTTTTCAGTGTTCCACTTTTCCGTGAGGGTTAGACCTTAATGTTGCAGATATTATGCTCAAAGATTGCACGATAATCAAGAAAACATTTCCGTAAAACAAGCTAAAACGTCAGCTGTCACTGTGTACTACACACGCCTAACAAGCTTAATTCATGAGCATTTAGCCTGCTCGCCAGCTCGAAACCTCATAACGACTGCGCGATCCGGGCACACAAGTGGTACTGCTGCAATCCACAATTTTCTGCACCAGCCTAACAAGATCATATAGCTTGGGGACAAAAACTTACCAGGAAGGGTCCAAGGGCGAAGTGGTCAATTGCAATAAGCTGTACTTTCCCGTGCATTTTCGGGTACTGATCTGCTTACCGAAGTTGTGGGACGACCCTTTCTCTTTCGGATCTGTGAAGAACTTCCAACCGTAAAGCGTATGAAATCAGTCAAGGTCATGGCAGCACGTCCAACAGGTCTTTTTTGGCCACAAGTCCAACACGGCTCTTCGCAAGCCTTCCTAGAGGTACGGATGGGCGAGCACTGTTCTAGCGAACTTACAATTTTTCTGATGCGCGCTCTCTGTGAAAAGCTAGAAGTTTTGTTCAGCAAGGATCCAAACCCAAGACCTACTGTCAGAGAAATGAGGAAAGTTCCATTGAGTCTGTTCAGAAAGTAAACAAGTCTCGGGGCTGAATAATGGGCTCAAAACCAAATTTAGTATCGTTATTGTAGGAATTGGAACATGGACAATCCCTATCTAATCTGTAAAGCTGGTGAGGGCGGGGCATTCTGGAAATCCTGTATATTTCAGTTTTCAAAAACAAAATCATACAAGCTTCATTCCTGAAGCAATTCTTGCACAAACTGGTTACCCATCTCCTAACTTCCTCCTTTAGATTTAAGCAGTTCTCGTTATCACCAGCTTTACACATAGCGTCCTTCGTACATTACGTGCCACCAAACACCTTGTCTAAACATGAGACAAAAGCAAGAACTGGGCAGGGCAGCTCGAGATGTTGCCCCTTACCATTTCTGCCCATAGCTTCTTAGCATGCCAGGTCCTTCGTACATACGTGCACCAAACGCCTTGTCTAACATGAGACAAAAGCAAGAAGGGAGGCGTCGAGATTTGCCCCTTACCATTCTGCCCATAGCTTCTTAGCATGTCCCTACAAAATAACCTCACACCTTCACAGGGATTCCCCAGCCCAGCCACACCCATAAAAGCAGCAAATGAAGCATTGCGAAAACATAGTAGTCCGGAAAAAAATTATCAAGAAAGACTGCAACTAACCATATGAGGGAATCTTATACTTCACATCGAGGTTTCCTCCAAGTTTTCCAGAGCCCAGATTATGCGCAGCAGATGTTTTGAACTCTACTTCCTTATTTTCACCAGCTTTAGTAGTGGTATCGACTTTGACGAAGCCGTGATCTGCAAAAAGTTACCTTTGCCGAAGAATTGTATGAAAAAGACTCTTTAAAACGCACTGTATCCTTTGTTGAACAGATCCTTCGCGGATTTCCCCAAATCAGCAAATGTGGGAGGGGCCATTCTGCAACAAAATTCTCATTAAGGAAGTATTACATCAGAAATATAACGACGTTTGCGGATACAAAGAACAACGAATATATAGCAGTGAAGTTGAACAACCTGCCAAGTTCGGTTTAGCAGAAATAAAACGTGGAAGCGCCACCACTGATCAGTATCAGAATGAAACTTTCTCCACCATGAAACACACCCGTCACAAATGGAAAACAACTTCGAATAACAATCCAGCATTGATAAGATAGCAGTATTCAGAGGATGCAACACAACATTCTCGAACAGAAAGTACAGTAGATACGAAATCAAAGAGCGAAATTCACTCAGGATTGATTGATTCTACTCAATCAGCGAATGATTATTCTACAATGTTCGAGCTCCCTATGAAATTTGGGACAAATTCTCACCATAAGGATGCTATGGCACAAAGTAATGTGAACACCAATAGGATGCATTGCGTCCATAGAGCATACCAGCGTTTTGAACAACTGGTAAAGTATGGTTACAGGACTTCTGTCGACCGGGCATGCTCTCGCTGCGAGCGTCCTAATTTCTCATCGTATATTAGCTGAGCAGTTGAATGAAAGAAAAGGAAGAGAGGTCAGGAAGGCGGAAAAGGAAGTAAGGAGGAAAGAAAAAGGAAGTAATAAGCTTCGTGGTTGAAAAGTATGTTGGAACGGGGAGGGAGGCGAGTGCTTGGCGCGATCACATTGTTATTGACGTGTAATGACAAACAACGGCACGTTCCACAAAGTTGAACAACCCCTCAAAATCACTAATGTGCAAGGTTTTCGTAATCGACAGACCAGTTTAGTCGTAAATGTTGCCGACGATGATTTTACTTCTTATCCAAGGCATCTCCCACTGACCAGTCGAGGAAAAAAAGTTGTGGTTCAGACTTTGGATTCAAAAAACTTGGTTTTGTACGAGTACACTTGTGAAAGACGGTTGGTCCGACGTGTTTTGACACGTTTTCGGCACGTGATCGCGCCAAACGACATACACCCAAACGGGGAATGTACAGATGACGACAGTGTTCTGAACTTACGCAGCGTTTTCAGGGAGTAACCGCCCGCGCAAAATTCAAAACTGCCTGGGAAACGCCAAAACGCCCGTGTACGCTTAAGACGCCCATTACGCCGCTTAAGATGCCTATGCTTTCCGCTCAAAGCACCGCCATAGGAAGGATATGATACACTGCCACTTGCCTGCTTCAACAACTGGTGTAGAACGAGTTTGGCACAGCGCCAAACGCAGCAGCACTGACACGCCCAACCGTCCGCAGCGAACTACGCTATACACTATAAGTTCGGTAAATTCACAGACACGATTCGAAACCAACTGTAGTTTTACCAAGTCAAGTTATTTTAGATCAGAGCCGGTACAAGTCACGTTTACACCCTGTGAGTGCAGGGAGTACCACCGATTGGGAGGTCATATACGCGAACGAAACTGTAAGTATCGCTTCGAAAAATCTGCGAAGTTAAATTCTACTGGTTCGCAAGACAATCGGCCCTAACACCGAAGGCGATTTCGACACCTGGGTCGGATGTCGTCGTGTGTCGTTGAATCGTAGAGCGAAGGAAATTAT